GTATAGTATAGGCTTTTTAGAAAATATAGGGATTATAATAACTATATAGTTTTCTTTCTAAGTAGTTTTTCTAACTATTTTAAGTATTTTAATTTTAGTTTTTCTAATTACTTCTAGTTATTTCTTACTTTTTTTAATAGATTTCTAATTTTTCTATTTCTTTAGTTTAAAGTATTATAGTAAAATATATCTAATTTTATTATAATTATAATATTTATATTTTTCTATAGCTCTTAGCTCTATAGAGCCTATATATATTCCAGAGACTATAAATTATTATTATAGTTATAATTAATTAGTATTAGTATAATAGATTATCTTTTTACTATAAGTTTACTAATAATACTATTAATTATTAATTCTTATAGCTATAATTATATATTTATAGATATTTACTAGCTTATCTTCCTTATAGAGTTCCTTCTAAACTTCTTTCTTTAGTTTTTTAAAATAATAAAATATAGTATACTTCTAGTTCTATCTAGTTTTTACTAAAAGCTAGAGATATTTACTACTAAAAGTAGAAATAGATCTAGTTTAAAAAAGTTTATTAATTTTATATTCTACTTTATATCTTTTATCTTAAATTCTAAAGATCTATTAGAGAGTTTCTATAAAGTAGTTAAAACTTATTATAATATTAATAATTTACTAGCTTTTTTAGCTATTAAGATATTCTCTTATAATAGATTTAAACTAATTAAGTATAACTCTCTTAAGTTATAAATAGATATAAGTAATTTATTATTTATTACTATTAAGAATAATAAGGAAATAATTAAAGTATATTTAAAGTTAGATTATAAAATCTTAATACTTATTTTAGATTCTATTAAATATTTTAAATAATAGTAGTTTAAATAGTACTTCTAACTTCTTTTTCTAGATTATAATTTAAGTTTAAATCTAAAGATTAATATTCTAAATAACTTATTATCCTATAAAGATAGTAGTAATAGCTATTTCTTATTATATAGTTATAAAGTATTTTTAAAGCTAAAGGATCTAGATTTATAGAAGTTTAATCTTAATATTATTATTTCTATTACTATTACTATTACTATTATTTTTATTTATAATATTATTATTATTTAGAATAAATAGATTATTAATAATAGAGTTCTACTATTAAGCTAGAGAAACTATAATAGCTATAATATCTTCTTTATTATTATATAGTAATTAAGATAAGATAATTAGCTAAATAAGAGTTATTAATATATAATAATTAGATTAACTTATACTAGATAAGATCTAGAGTAGATTAGGATTAAACTAATTAGAGTATTATTCTAAATAGTATAATTAGATTATCTTAAGCTATATAATATAAG